GTTTCCAGGGGAACAGAGCTAGATAATTAACCCAAGGTCAAATTCTCATGCAGAAGGGGAAAGGATTTGGTAACCCTCTGCCTACACTCGGCCTCCCAGAGGTTTTCTTTCTGCTTTAAGCAGTCACAGCAGGTTCAACTTTTGCAGCTAAGCATTCCTACCAGTAGTGCCCCTTGTATCAAGGACACCTCCACTCACGTGCATTCTGATACATATGCCTTAGTGGGAAAGAACGAGGAAGAGTTATAATAGTATGCTGGAAATTTTGCATAACCCTGAGTGAGTATGTCCATTGGAGTATGTTAAATCTGAATATCAACTGTCACGTATGCCACAGATAAGAAAGCATTAAGAACTGATGTGTTGGGGGGGCTGGCCTGGTGGCATAGCAGTTAAGTGTGTGCACTCTGCTTCGGTGGCCCAGGGTTCGTGGGTTTGGATCCAGTGGGGGGACCTACACATCGCTTATCAAGCCATGCTGTGGCTGGCATCCCACATATAAAGTGGAGGAAGATGGGCACTAATGTTAGCCCGGGGCCAGTCTTCCTCAGCAAAAAGAGGAGGATTGGCAGCGGATGTTAGCTCAGGGCTAATCTTCCTCACCAAAAAAAAAAAAAAAAAAGAACTGATGTGTTGAGGTGATCTTTTGGTAGGGTAAGTGTCTTGAAAGATGTATTTGGGTACCATTAACTTCTAATGTCTATTATGTTTGCTTTATTAACTCTATTTCTTCAAGTGTAAATTCTTCCATTTATTGAGATTGTTTTGTTTCCCCTATTAGTTTTCTCAAACAGTTGGTGACTGGTGATTGTATACTCATGTTTTTGGTTCAGATTTCCCTGGTAAATAGTCTGCCACATCTGTCTGTACAGCTCTGTTTGCAAAAGGGGTGACAGCTGCCACTGCCTGGGTATGAATTCTCGTTTGTTTTCTGTGAGATCGAGGGAGGGTAGAACTACCTAATTGTCTAGTCTTCTAGTGAAGACCACTTCTGTTCCTTTCAGCCATGACTAGCCACCTTAGGCAACAAAATACTTCAATTTATCCTACTATTTTTTTTATTTTGTGGTAACATATTACCAAAATCATCCATGGCCAAACACATCTAGGAATCACTGATATTTCCAGTAAAGGGGAGGAAAATCTTGTCATAGACTTGAGATGATTGTTTAAAATAGCCGCCTCACACGGCCCCTCCCATCAAAATTAAGGCGTTTACACTTATCATCACTATTTGGAAAATAAATATTGCCTAATCACAATCTTACAAACTTTATCTGAGGTTTTTTTTTTTTAACTAAAAATATCTGAGGTACCTGAAAGATTTCAGAAGCTCAGAAAAGAGGAGCCAAAGTTCCGGAAAAACTTAAACTACAGAAATTTCACACTGGCACAGCTTCTTCAAAATCCCATAGTGAAAAGCGAAACTATCCAAACCAAATGCAACAGCTCTAAAGCTGTGCCCACGTGAAAGAGCGACATGGATCACGGAGGCCTAGAACCAGGCGCTCCAGCCAAGAAAGGCTCTTCTGACAAGTGGAGAGGGTTGGAGGCGAAAAACATCGATATTTCCGTCAACACATATTTCCCAGGCTTTCTGCTGGGCATGGACCAAAGGAAAGAATATTCAGCCCCTGTTCCTGAAAAGATTATAGTCTAGTGGAAAACCGTAGAAGCACCATGGCCCAACATGACTTTGCCAGAATAGAGATAGAGGCAAGGAAATGTTGTTTGATTTCGGGGTGGGGGAGGAGACAGAAAGAGAGAGAAAAACAACTCCAAATTAGAGTCCTATCTCCCGCTGGAAATTTCTCGTTAGGCGGTTTCGGTACGGAGTTGGTTGTAAACACGTGACTGAACACAGTCAGAGGCTCTCTCTCCTCTGAAGCCCTATCATGTGTGTTTTCAGATGCTAAACACCAGTGCCTATTCTATCACGGAACAGGAAGAAATAGCTTTTTGTCTAGAAGGAATCACACACAGGCTTCTGTAGGGACAATGATAACAGCATTTTAGAGCAAAAAAAACCATGTAAAATAATGTATAGTATCAGCCCCTTTTTGGGAGTGGGGAGGAGGGGAGGTCCCCTTGTGCCAGGCACGGCCCTGGATGACTTAGCTATAATATCGAATTCATTGCTTACACCAGTCCCACGAGGCTGGTCTCGTTCTCTTTCCAGTTGAGGAAAAGAGGTTCAAAGAGGTGAAATGGCTTGTTTAAGGTGCTAGAAGAAGCAGAGCTGGGATCCAAATCCAAAAGTTGATCTGATTCCCAAATCCATACTCTTCCCAGAAAACCAAAGTGAACAGAACTCAAAAAATTTGCATTGCATTTTGTGTCGTCCCCTGAAAATTCAACCAAAAAGGAATGGAAAGACCGAGATAACTGACTCCAACGAATTCCGAGACACGTTCTCTTTACTTTGCTTTCCTTCACAGCTCATGCCTCTTTAAAACTTGCCCCAGAAAGTTTAGAGCCCTTAGATGGTCTCCCCAGACTTATAGCCATGCCAACTACACTCTGAATCCTGAAATAGATTCCAGAAGGGAAGATGGAAACTGCATAATAGAAAATGTAATGGGCACCATGCAACTGTGTTGAGTGGGGGCCAGAGAGTTTTAGTCTGGTGGCTGTGAGGATGGAGCTGGTCTGAGGATATTAATCCTCACAACCAGGGAGACCATTTAGAAATCCAATGTAGTAACAGAAGTAAGAGGGAACGAGGTCCAGAACCAAGCAGTGGCAGCAATCTGGGGAGGCAGGAATGGAGAAATGAGAGATGTCACAGATGGAGGATCAGCAAGACCTACTGACCAGTTGGCCATGGGAGGGAGCGAGGGAGAGGAAGGAGTGTGGGCTGAGTCCCAGTTTTCTGACTAGGGCGACAGGGTTGATGGTGATGCCGTTCTTAGAGGCTGGGAGAAAGGAGGAACAGTGGGTTTTGGGGGAAAGATGATGGCTGTCATTTTAGGGTGGTTGTGAGCACTCCAGATGGAAATCTTCCATAGGCAGCTAGACCAATGGATTTGTTCATTCTGCAAACATTTGTTGACTTCCCCACATGCACCAGATGTTGAGCTTGGCATTAGGTGCGGAGTGACAACCAAAACAGGTGTGTTCTCTGCCCTCATGAAACTTATAGGCAATAAACAAACATAGAAATCAAAAACACAGAATAAGTGCTCTGAGCATGAGACTTGACAGTGCAAGCCGGAAGGCTGAGCGGGATGAGAAGGTTCTGGGGCTCTGAGGGGGGGTTGTCTGGCTGGAGATGGAGAGGGGGTCATCTGCACAGAGGCAGGAATTGAAGACAACGTGAGGGAGGCGAGTCAGAGAAACTGCACTATTGTACAGGCTGTCCGGGCGGGGGCTGGAGAGCTAGACACCCCACCGGCTGAGGCCAATGGTTTCCATTCTCTCAACCCTCAGGAGCCACACTCATAGAAAGCACAGTCTTGGCATGTCTGACGGAGGTTATTCTTTGGCCAGGGACCCTGGGCATTTTACCACTTCTCCATTTTGGGCATGTCTGGCACATGAACATTGCAGAGGGTACCCACCGATTTGGCCAGGATAGCGGGAGACCTGAGTAATCCCCTGATTAAGCTAACTCCAGACTGGACTGAAATATTGATGCTAATTTGGGATTCTTAAAAGAAAAAAAATGCAACTTCTGTCTAGCCTATGCTGCATCCTCTTCCCTTAACTGAAAGCCAGGAGACATGGGTTAGGACCCCAATTAAGCCCCAATCCCAGCAGAAACAGAGCAGCCAATGAGCATTTCAAAACCACTTGGAACCATTTAACAGAGTCAGGAAAACTGCACTGAGCCCCAATTGGGAGTTGTTCAGCTACCTGCTGATAATATCTCCAACAACAAGAACAAATGCGAACATTTATCCAGCACTTACTATGTGCTGGGTGCGGGGCAATTTATTTAATCCTCAAAGAGCCCTACGAAGGAATTGCTCTTAGTAGACCTATTTTGCAGCTGAAGAAACTGAGGCACAGAGAGGTTAAGGCACTTTCCCAAGGCCCCCCAGCTTCGAATTGGAAGAGGCTGAATTTGAACCAAAAAGTGTGGATCCCAGAGCCTGCTCTTTTAACCACTCTTTTGATAAACAGGGGTCACTACTGTAGTAGTTAGAGTAAACAGGCCCGTGGAGGAGGGGCTTGATTTGTGACATTGTGGGGAGATGAGCTAGCTCTGTGAACCTGTTCCTAGAGGAAGAGGGGACGCCTCCAGGCAGGCTCCTTTCCTGATGGTGGCTTCTGATGCGCTGCCTCTGAGAGGGTGAAACCATCCTCAGAGAACGCGGCGCGGGGGGCAGGGGTCCCAGATAGCAGGAAACCTGGGGGCCGCTTAGTTCAGCCGCTGGTTGCAGGGGGGGAGGCTGAGGCACGGGGAAGTGGAGGGACGGCGCCAGGGAGCAGTAGAAGCTGGGTCAGAGGGAGCTGCCTCTCCCTTCCTTCTCTCTGTTCCTTCCTTTCCCGTGAGGATTCTGCTTCCCAGGAACAGCCATGCCGTCTCCCCCAGAGCAAGCCCAGGGGTCCCCCGCCCACCTGAGAGGCCCACTTCTGGCTGAGCAGGTGTTCACGGTTCCCCTGGGAGTCCCGAGGGCAGCCAGGACAAAATGCCACCAAGGAGCTGGCAGCCCCCACAGCTGCCTCCACAAGGAAGCCCCCCTGCACTGCAGAGGCCCTCACCCCTCTGGAATTTGCAGACCCACTCTTCTGACCCAGGTCATTTTTGTCCCAAGCTGGACCAGCACTATGCAAACCCCTCTCAAAGACTCCACCCAGGTCCCAGACACCCGCTCAGGGCACAAGGTTCCCATCTGGACCCCTCCAGCGAGTGTCTGGGAACTGGGCAGTTCTGACCCTCAGCATCCCTCCCCTCCCCCCACCCCGCCCTGGAGGCAGTACCCACCCACCACCAGGTGGTGTTGGCCAGAGGCGAGCTCCCCTCCTTGGCCGTCCAAGGCCAAGGCCAGCCTTACCTTTCCACCTGGAGGTTGACTTTGGAAGGCTCCACGTTGGGGTTTTCCCATTCCATTTGCGGGCAGTGCATGAAATAGCAAAGCGTGTACAGGGCCTCGGGCTCCCAGTAGAGCGCCCCCTGCTTGTGGTGCAGGGGGGTGCCGTTGCCATGGTGCTTGGCGTTGAGGGGCTGCAGGTGATGCATTGCTCGGGACACCAGGTCACCTGTGGACAGAAGTCAGATTTCAGATCCTTCAGGCTGCCAAGACTCGCAGAGAAGATGTGCCTGGTATCTCTGCAGAGATTCTGATCCCTGGATGCCCCCCTTCAATGGGAGTAGTCCTCTGGGACCTCCAGGTCACCCATCGAGCAGAGGGGAAAGCATTCATTCATTCACCACACCACTGTCAAGGGCTCACCAGGTTTGGGGTGCTGCTTCAAGCAGAGGGCTGCTCAGATAATCCAGTCCTGCCCTTCTGGAACCCCTGTTTCTCACAAGGCATGGGAAGCCCTTTGTACACGTCTGCTTCGGGCCGCTCTCACCTTGGGACACACCTTGTCATACCCTCTGCGGTAGCCAACCCTGCCTTCCTTGCAGTCACAAGAATGGACTATACTGTCTCTTGCCTCTTAGCCTGTGCATATGCCATTCCCTTTATCCACAACATTCTTTCTTCTCTTCTCTAGGCTAACTCCTACTGATCATCCAGGTATCAGCTTATATATTAATTTCTCCAGGAAACCATCCTGGAATCTCCCCACTCCCCTGGGTCTGTTAGCACAGCATTTTGGCCACTGGGTTAGAATATTCTTTTTCTTTGTCAGTCTTTCCCGACAACAGCAACTCAGTCTTAAATGACACTTATTACATGCCCACACAGTTCCAGCACTTTAATTCATTTAATCCTCACAACGCTTTATGAAGTAGGTACCTTTAAAAATCCATTTTACAGATGAGGAAACAGAGGCCCAAAGAGTTATATAACTTCTCAAACTTCTGCAGCCATGAGTGGCGGACACAGGATTTGAATCCAGGCAGTCTGACTCCAGAATCCATGCACTTGACCGTGCTCCTTGAGGACAGAGGCTCTGTCTCACTCTTCTCAGCACTAGCAAACCCTGGAAAGACTCTGGTCTTTCTCTTCCTTTCTTAGAAGGAAACCAGTCTTCTCCTTGATCAAACTAGACCTGCATGCTCCCAGGTTGGCTGCATAGGGAGGATCTTCCTGTGGGGAGACTGGCTGGGCCTGGAAGCTAAGATGGTGTTTCCCAAACTTGGGTCATTTATATGCCACCTTCACGAGTGTAGCTATATCCAAGAACTATCAACCATTATTTACCTAATTTTAAATGGGCTTATTTTGTTTCTTAAAATACATATATTTAAAAAGGAAACATTATGTCATTACCATAAATGGAAAATTAGTATCACTTGCCATAAACAGAAGGTTATTGTAAAAGTTAATTCAATGAAAACAAAACAGTGTAACTAATTTATAGCTGAATTCTGGTCCTGCTTTCTTTTGTTACAAGTAACAAGTGTTAGAGAGGTGTTAGGGCTCATACCAAATGAAGCCTTTCTTCTTAAAGCAAATAGAATTAAAATAGAATTTAAAAGAATCACTCCATGACCAACGTTATTTAATGCACTGCCCCAGTCCAATTTGCACAGTGCAATGTATTGCACACTTTGAGAGACATTTGTCTAAGATATCCATGATGGTTAATTTTATGTGTCAACTGGGTTAGGCTATGGTGCCCAGTTGTTTGGTCAAACACTAGTCTAGATGCTGCTGTGAAGGTATTTTTTCCATGTGATTAACATTTAAATCAATATATTTTGAGTAAAGCAGATTACTCTCCATAATGTGGGTGGGCCTCATCCAATCAGTAGCAGGCCTGAAGAGAAAAGACAGAGGACCTCAAAGAGGAAGGAATTCTGCCTTCAGATTCAAGACTGAAATATCAACTCTTGCTGGAATTTAAACCTCCCTCTCTCGTCCCTGGTGGGGGTGGGAGATTGTCTCCCACCTTCATTGCCCAGTTGAAACCAGGCATGCAGAGCCCACCAGTTCTCTGCCATCCACCTTTAACATGATATTTTTACCTAAAATCTAAACCCAAGAAAGTGAGGCTCAGTGAGAGGCAGGACTTTCTCCTCTGAAGGCCCAAGGCCTGCCTTCTAGGTTCCTGTTTCCTGTCTGAGGGAGAGGCCACTTCCTCACAAGAAGATTGACAAGAGGACAATTCACCCCTTTGTGGGAGTTGACTATGGAGATGAGCTCTCAGCTGAGGGCAGAATGGCAAATATTCCCCCTCCCATTCCTTGTCCATGGCAGACATGGTTAATCAATCACAGAGCTCTTATCCACTGATGGTAGATGCAGCCTTAAAATCTTTCTTGAGACAAGATTCCAAGCAGCCACTATTTCTGATGGGGTTGTCCAAGGAGAGGAAACTTCTGTGTTGTCAGAGTCAGAAGGCCTTATCAGAACAAGCTAACCAGAGTACAATCCACTAAGCTTCACATCTGGAAGGCAGTTGCAGTGGCTCCCCTACACCCCTCCACATCTTAGCACGCCCAGCCCAGAGCCTGACCCTCCTCTCTCCACCTCCCACAGCAGCAAAATACATCCAAGAAACTCGAAAAGAACCAAAGAAGGAAATTCTCTCTTAGAGGCAGGTGGGTAGGGAAGACCCCGAGGGGACCTGCAGATGGAAAATGTGGAGAACCAGTGCTCAAAATTAGGTAGGAGCCAGGGCCAGGAGTTCAGATCCCAGCTCTGCCACTTACCTCTGTAAACACTAGCAAGTCCCTTAACCTCTCAGGCGAGGAAACAATACTCCCCTATCAGGTGGCTGTGAAGGCCCAGTGCAAAATGAGGACGTGCTGGCACACTGTTGGCACTGCATGAGCAGCTCTCTCTGGCTCAGGGCCCACTGGCTCTTCCTCCTTTCTGGACAGTGGGACCAAGAGGTTGGGTGCCTGAGACATGGAGGCCGGTCCTGCCAGTATCCTGACCCAGCGTCTGATCTGCTGCTTCAAGCTGGGGTTGACTTTTCCAAGAATCGACATTGCAAAGCTGCTCATTCCAGGCCTCCCTTTGGGGTGCATTTAGGTCCTTAGTTGCTTCTTCTTCTCTTTTCTCTCTACCCTCTCATCTTTTAGGGATCTTACTCCCTGGGAGGGAGAAAAAAAGGAAGCCGGGTGTCTGCTGCTAGCTAGTCCCATCACTCGAGTCTAGGAAGGGGCAGCTCCAACTACTGGTCCAAATAAGAGCACCCAATCGGCAAACGTTGAGAAGGAATCTAGAAGAAAATACAGGGATGGCAGGTCTGGGTGGGATCGGGCACAATGACACTGTTTGGAATTTCCTGATGAGGATGGTGACATGGAGGAGAGGGAGGGAGGCAGCAGAGGTAGGAACCACAATATACTGATATATGCCCCATCTCAGGCCGTTTACATATATTTTCTGGTTTAATTTGTATAAGAACCAAATGGGACGGGTATTATTATACCCACTTCGGAGATGGGAAAATTGAGGGAAGAGGCAACTTGCCCAGGTGTCACTCAGGAAGCGGCAGGCTGTGACTCCAGCCAGGGTTCCAGGGCTCATGTTCTTGGTCACGACACCACAGTGCCTCCAAAAAGGCACTAATCTAGAATCTACCTCTGGGCGTGGCCTTTGAAAAATTCTGAGGAAGGGTCTGAGGCCTAAATCCCCAAAGTGTGTGCCACCGTGGATTCCAGGGCGGGGCCGGCTTGGTGGGGTGGGGGTCAGGGGACTGGTCAGGCTCTGCTGACGGAGCAGAGCTTCAGCTCAGGGTTCTCCAAGTCTGACCTGTCTGGTGAGCAGGGTGGGTGCGGGCAGCGGTCAATGGGTGCATCTGCATAGGTGACCAGACAGACTCTTAGGAGACAGGTCACCCCAAGGGAAGAGAGGCTGGTGGGGGGGCACAAGGGTAACCGACAATGATGTAGGCCGGGAGCTGGTTCTGGAATCCACAGAAGCCTGGTCTCTCAGATCAGACCTCCTGCCCAGCGCTTGGCAGAGCCGAAGAGCTTTTCCCTGGAAGCTGTGAAAAGGGGCAGGAGCCCGGGTGGCTCTCCTTTGGGGCCGGGATGAGGCTATGGTGAATAACAGCAAACACACACAGCACCTCCTGTGTGCAGGACATTCCTGAGAATTTTACACACATCACACTCCTTCGCTGCCACAGGAGGCAGTGAGGTAGGTCCTGATACCATATCCATTTTACAAATGAGGAAACTGAGGCACAGGGAGATGATTTGGCTGAAATCACATAGCCACTGAGTGAAGGACTGGGCTTCAAACTGCGGCCATTTGGGTCTAGAGTCCACGCTCTTAGCTGCCAACCACACTGCCTCCACGAGGGTGAAAGAGAGAGAGTCCTCATCACTGGTGGCAGCACAAACACGTTAAGAGGTCCAGGGATCACGGCAGGCTCGGGCACAGCCAGGGTTTTGGCAGAACAGCTCAGCACATCTTTAATTGAGACCTGTCGGTAACAGCATCCTTGGGCAAAGAGTGGGGATGAGCCCCAGAGGCTGGGGGAGGCAGGGCCAATGGCCAACGGCTTTGGAAAGCACTAGTCCTCGGTGTCCAGTACTGTCCTCGGCTACAAGATCAGGGTCTTCAAAGGTGGCCCCAGCCATGGGCAAGGGCTAGGTCTGAGGTGTCATGGAGGTTCACGGGAGGCCAAGGCGTTAGGGTAAGCCACAACAGGGCAGGAGGAAGGGGTGGCTACACGTCAGAGGCCACCTGAGGAGTCTCAAAAACTACTGGGTGAACTTTTCAGAGGGGCTGATTCCCAGTGAGTTTGCACTCAGGGGGCAGGGTCTGAAAACACTGGGGGTGGGCCTACCTCCCCCCCAGGGAGGCGCAGCTGGAAGGATCTGGGTTCCCCAGTAACCGACCCATCTCAGCACTCACCATCCTCCAGGAGGAAGGCTGTGCCGCCAACAAGGTGGGAGAGCAGAGGGAAAGTGGAGGGAGAAAGGCTTCCACCAGGAAGACCCAGGAAGCAATTCTGTTTCTAAACAGCAGGCCACACTGTGACCGCTGGAAGGAGGGGAAAGGGACGTTGCTGGATACTTGGCCAAAGAATCTGAGATGCAGAGACCCCGAGAGCTGGGAGGGGCTTCCGAGCTGATGCAGTGCGTCCTCCCAGGAGCATCCAGCTGCACGAACAGTGGTGAC